GTCATTATGAGAGATTCTCCTCCATTTTATACGTAATCAGGACTTGTAAAGTCTCAATATAAACACCATTTTTATTTGATCAGAGTTCATTATGAAAAGCAAGTAGTGTATAGAAAAATGTCTGAAATTACACACTGGACGAGAAGTCGGAATTTGCCAAGGAGGAAGGGGAGGCTTGGCTGAGGCCCGGCGTGCATACCTTTGCAATCTGGCACATTTCCTTACATGTGGCCTTGCAAGGACTTATAAAGCACTAGAATCAATTTCTTTTAAAAACATGTTTTTCAGAAACTTATTACGCACTTTAGAGATATATTATATACCTTCAGCCCCAAAAGAAGAAAAATTACAGGTGCAAAAGCAGCCCATTTTTCTAGCAGCTGAAAATGATGCTGTGTACTAGTCACAGGGGAACAGTAAAAATTATACTCCGACAGCAACAGGGCAGAAGCTCACAAAGGCACAACCGAGCGAGTGGCACGGCCAGGGAGTGTGCTAATAAATCAAGATAATTCTCTGCCTGCCTTGAACTTAGACCCGGCTACAATTCACTGGTACAGCCAGGGGAAAAAAAAGTCTGTTAGTGGAATTCAGCCTTACTGGGGGGACGTGATTAGTCACTGGGCAGATTGAGCCTCGATTGCATCTAAATGGTCCACTTTATGAACCATTTATCTTCTGCTCAGACCATTTTCATTACACCAAAAACTGATGCTGAGCCACCAGCTGTAAGATACAGCCTGGTGAAAATTAATAACCTTTTTTTTCCCCTTCTGCAGGACTCCCGCATATGTGAGCAGGAGCATTTATCCCTGTTTTGTTGCGATTTGCATCCCAGCATCCCTGGCAGTCTTTCAATTTTCTCAAGTCTCTTAGCCTTTGCCCCCTGTTTCGCTTTTGCAACACAAACAATCCATCCTGTGCATTTAAAATTCTCTTAGCGCCCTGACATCACGATATAGCCTTAGAGCAGGGAGCAGTTTACACAGAAAGGGCTCTTATTAATTCCTCTGTCCTGCCTTCCTGCTAAAATATAGGGATCTTGAGATTACTGCTGGGTCCCTTAAAGACCATTTAGAGCTGTGCAATTTAAAAAAGGAGACCTTTATTAATACCTGCTTAGGCTCCTGACTGCGGGGAGGGCAGAGGAGGTCTGGCTGTGATGGAAGATAGTCTCTTAGTGAAGCAGCGTCACGTGACCGATAATTCAAGGCAGCCTATTGAGTCTTGCGTGGCCGCTGAGATATATGCTGATATGATTACAATAACATACAATGAAATTATGGAGTATTAATGGTGCTTAACCACTGTCAAGCATTAAGCAGAATTAACACGAGTCTCTTTCTGGGCAGACCTAGTTTTGATAGGGCTGATTAAGGATTTGGCTATCTAAGGGAACTCATTATGGTATTAATTAGGAGACAATGAGCCCAAACTGTGCTGCTTTGGCATGTTTCTGCATGGGGCCACACGTGTGGTGCAGAGCTTGGAGCTCCTGCCTCTGCCCTGGAGTTCTTGGACACTATACAATTTTGTTTCCTTCAACAGATTTTGCAGTCTTCCTTCTTCCTGTTTTCTCTTTTGGGGCCTGCCAGAACTATTTTGATATCTGATCCTCCTGACTCTCAACAAAAGTTGGTCTGGTACTAGAGATGCTACTGAGTTGAGAGAGAACTATTTTATGTCCTTGGAGGGATTTTGTAATTTTAAAAAATTCTTCAAGAGATCTGTTGTTTTTTTTAAATATGGTTACGTTTAGGCAGTTGATGGGATGGCAGGCTGCTACGTTTTGTATTTGTGAGTAAGTGACATTTTGCAAGTTTATTTTTTAATTTTTAACTCATGATGGAATACTTGGGGGAGAATTTAGTACTCCTCAATTTTTGAAATATCCTTTCTCACATAGCCTGCAGTCAATAAGTAAAGAAATGTGTGACTCTGGAGCTTGGGTTTCTTCTGCTAGACAGGATGCTCAGCGTGGCGGTTTTGGGAAATGCTTTTAGAGATGGACTGTCTGGTGGCTGGAACCTGAGGTCACAGTGAGTCACTGATCACAGGGACAAGATCACCCCAGGCTCAGCACAGGAGTGGAGAACTCATGCTGTGCAACCAGGACCATGGTGTGCCTGTCTGCTCCACTCTGAGGAGCTTCATGGTCCCAAGCTCTTTGCTCCAGTCAAATTAACCCTGAGCTGATCTTCACTGGTTCTGCGATGGTCAGAGGGAACCAATGAGTTACGTCCTTTCTTCCTGTGTAGACCTGGCTTTCATTGGCCAGAGAGGCTTGGCAGCCTGTCCACCTGACTGCTGATAAGTGTCCATGGGACACATGGAATGGTGGGGGATTTGGGTTGCTGGAGGGCATGGACCACATTTCTTGGGGAGAAAGGTTTTCTAATGGGGATGGCTGGAGCCTCTATGAAACCATCCCCAGAAGTCTCCCAGTTCAAAAACTTTCAGCCAAAAGGGCCACAGATTGCCTCCATTAAACCTTAGTGGCCAAACATCCACTGTCAAAAATACATACAGTATTAATGTCTCTAAGAGAAGGAAAGCTTAGGAGATTGTGTGCACCTCAAGCAAATGCTCAGATGTCCCCTCTGATGTGTCTGGATCTGACTTTGAGTTCAGAAGTCAAAAGAGCCCAAGAGAACTTCTTGTCCTCTTCATACGGTCATCTGGCTAAAGTCCTTTCCAGCGTGAGAGAGAATGCAAATGACTGCACTTTACCAAACAAATGATTATAGCATTCCATTCCCAGATGTGCAGCAAGCATCAACACTGACCTTGCTTTTTCAGTGCTAGTCCTTTTCTTTAAATAAAGTTGATGAAACATGATGGGCTCTTCCACAGGATGTCTGCTCTTTGTGTTATAAAATAGGGCACTTGAGGAATTGCCTTCCGGGAGAAACTGTTATTAAGTTTTTGTATTTGTATTAAAATAGTGCACAGTCATAATTGGAATTCATAAGCCTACTTTGCAGCAACACTTGAGGTTTCAGAAAATTGTACTTTTCCTGGTAAGGTCTTTCTTTGCAGCCAGGCTGATAGTAGCTTTCGGCCCTTGCCAGGTGTAGTCACCTGCAGGCCCTTCATGAACATGGGTGGAAAAGGAGATTAAGAAAGGACCATGGCAGATACACTACAGATGGTTCCCACCTTAGGAGGATGGATGTCAACTTAAGGGTTTTTTTTTTTTTTTTTTGAGTTGATGGCAGAAAAGTACTGTGCATTCAGCAACAACCAAACTGCATTTTGGATGTGGTGGTAGGCTAATTAACACACAGGTTGACCCTCCGTGGTCTTGCAGGGCAGTAGTAGCAGTCCAGCTCCCAGTCTACCTGTGTGAGCAGGAGGGAAACAACCGAGGCTCTGCAGTGTGCTATGCACTGAGCTGAGATGTTTACTAGGTTAGGTTTTGTAAATGGATTTTCAACTTACCAGACATTTACTGTGCACTGGGTTGATGGGGGGTGTTGTTGGTATGCGACCCCTACCAAAAGTCAAGGACATGAACTAGAGAGGTGTGTACTTATCCCTGGCTCCTCCTATTTTACTCTGCTTCCTGGGGTGAGTAGCTTTCCACCACTGTACTCCTCTGCTATCCTGTTACTGCTTGGAGCCAGCTGTGCAGGGAGTGAACCCACAGAAATCATGAGCCAAATAAATCTCTCTTCCTTTAAGTTGTGGGTGTCAGGTAATTTGTCCCAGGGATAGGAAAGTGACTAAGATAGGCCTCCTCATTCTTCTTGCCCTTTCTGTCTCCTCTTTATATTTAAAATCATCTCCAAGGTTGCTCAGAGGATCTGGTGGCCAGTCTTTTTCTCTGCAGTCTGTTTTCACCCGTCCTCATTCCTGATTCTTCCCTATGTTTCTCAATATCAGCCACAGTCCTGCTCTGTCCCCCTCTTCTATAATTCCTTGGTCTCTTCAGTGGCCTCCTCTTACCTGACTCTATTCTCTTGCTGGGGTGAATCCTTCACTGCTCTCCTCACTTTCTCTTCACTCTCAGGTGGTCTCACACCCACAACCTTCTTTACCTCAGCAATTTCCAAACCTGTAATTGGTGCCCCAGGAGGAATTCAGTAAGGGGTGGGGGGTATGGGTTCAGAGTGGTTGTGGGAGGAGACATTTGGGTCCCTGAATTTCTGAGAGCTGTTGAAAGACTTGTGAAACATTGAACTACCAGGTGCATATCACTTCTCAGATGTTTCATCTGCACCTTAAACTGAACACGTCCCCAGATGAACCCATTAGCTCTTTCCCCAGTGTTTTCTATCTTGTTTAATTCCATATTCTGTTGCATTACCTCCACCATGAACACTGGTAGTTATCTTACATTCACATCTGTCTGTTGATTCTAATTCCCAAATACCTATTGTATTGTCTTCTTTTCTCCATCTCTAATATCAGTCATCAAGCACCTGCCTTCTTGTTGTGATTGTTAAAATAGACTCCAAATGGGATCCATCTTGCACTCATCTTCTTTCATGTATCCTCCATGCTGCTAGAGCAAGATCCCTAAAATCCTGTCTCATCCTGTGATTCCCTGGATCATACTTCTTAGTGGATCTCCACAGTTTACATAATGACATTGGCTTGATTCCCCTGGAGATCAATGCTTTTACCCTGGCCAACCTCTCTAGTTGTATCTCATGTCTCTCCAGTGCAATGTGTCAAGATCTCAGGGCCCTTGCTCAGGTAGACATAGGCTGTGGGTGAGGGAAAGCTTTCTGTTTTATACTTTACCTGGTAATAAATGGTTTATTTTATAGCCAAAATGTTCATGAATTCAAATTTTTCTTATCAAAATGTTAGATACTCATCCCTAGAAAAAGGAGGATCAAAAGATGAAGAAAAGAAAAATGAAGAAGCATGGCTAAATAAATAAATAATTTCAATATTGCTGTTAGAAATACAAATGATCAATGAATGAATGAATTTAGGGGGAATTAATGAAAGAGGAGAGTCCATTAGGAGCTATTTTGTAGTCTAACAAAAAAATGAGGACTCAAATTTAATTTGTGTCAATAAAGTGACATTTAAGTGATATTAGGGAAATTTCTTGTGGATCACTCTGGGCGTAACTTCACTGATTTGAACTTTTATCTCCTTATCCATAGTGATGTTGGATGTGATGGGTTGGTGCTGTGGAATTCTTGTGACTGTGGCCTCATTGCTGAGATCCCGTGGAAGATTCCTGCTGGTGGTGAGAAAGGCACTACTGATTCTCTACAGGTTCTCGTGGGCAGGGCAGGGAGTCAGCAATAATAGAGGCTCAGCTTTTAAATAACAGAAAGCCCATGGTGCCCAAAGCAGAATGCACCATTGGTTTTCTTTTTTAAAATTTAAGCATTGTGTCTGAAAGATCATTGATGTATACTAGACTTTACTTCTCAAGAGAGCATAATGTCTATGAGAAGGTACTTAAAAAAAGAGAAAAACTAACATTGAAAGGAAAAAATGAAAGGCAGAAGAGGCCATAGCATCCAGGCCGGCTATCCAGGTGGCAAAAGCAACTTTAGTTTCAAGACCCCAGGAGTCCTGGGCACACTGGAGACTGGGGGCCATCTTCACTCCTCTTTGCTCTGCAGCACCTACTGCATGCCTAGCACCCTGATCTACTCTGTAAATGTTTTCTTAAAACATGGAAGATAATTAAGAAATCAAGATTCGTAAAAATCACACATGACTTATCCTACAGGAGACTTTGAAGTTGGTCTGACACAGTATGTCTATAATTCCCCTGATCTAAATTGAATCATTTGCAACTTAAGTGTGTTCATTAATAGAAGGAAAAGGAAAATATTTGTGGCAATTCATTTGTCAAGCTGTAAAGTGCCAGGTGGTGTATTGGGAGACCTGAAGAGAGGGAGGAGAGGAGCTTATTGGGAAAGACCAAGCTGTGCTCCTCCGAAGGGCCCCTCCCTGGCACCTATCTGAGAGCACAAGAGGGTGTGGACAAGGGAAATGACATCACAGCCCAGCCTGTGAGACCTGGTTTAACAGAGACGGACAACATGTATTTGCTGATTGTACTGTGTGTTTTCGCTTTAGGCTTACAGCTGAAGCTGTCTTCCCTCGGAGATCATGCCAGCGTTTTTTCAGATCAATGTTGGAAATTAAATGGTAGCCCTCAAGGGGAGGGAGGCGCCTTTGCAACCATTGCTTCCTATCGGAAATCTTCCTTTCATGTTTCTGCTTAGTACTCAATGCAGGGTTTGAAATTAATTAAAAGATATCCTTTCTCTAATCTTTAGATAATTAGCTTCAAAGATTTTCTTCAAAATGTTGTAATAACTTTATCTTTCATGTGAAAATTCAGAATTGTTCCTATCTGGACAACAATAACTCAGTAGTAGTTAGTTAGCAATTAAAAAGAAAGAATGTATTGTCAGCCATTGGAGTAGTTGGGTTTCAGTCACGGAAAATAAGTATTTATTAGGATTTTTAGACTTTTGTACAAGACTAAAGGATTCTTAAAGCGGGAATTGGAAAGTACTATGTAAATTCTACTCGCTCAAATTATGGAAGGAAAAAATCCCAATCTTAGATAAAATGTAAATATCTTGAATTATAGAAATGATTGAATATCAAACCAAAGCTTTTTGGTTGTCTCTTGTCTATCTTCAAGAAGTCAAATAAGAAAATGACTTTTGATTAGAACAAGAAAGATTCCATGTAGGTGTAATATTTGCATTTACCATGTGTTTTTTCTTAGTGAAGCTGGTACCCACTACATATTCCTTGAGGTTTCTCCCCTCAGAGGCAGAGTCTAATCCTGTCCCCTAGAATCTGTCCCAGCCTGGTTGACAATTTGTATGCCCCCAAAGTGACATTTGAGAATGTCCCAGGCTTAATCCTAAGGAACCTTGGGGCTTCCACCAGGGACTCCAAGACAGTCACTTCAGGAGCCTGGGTTTCCAAGCATCTGGTTGTCCTGAGAGTTTCGGCTCAAGTCAAAATCCAAAGCCAATATTAAGTGAAATAAATCAGACACAGGAGCCTAAATATCACATGGTTTCTCCTCTATGAGAAATCCAAAGTATAAACTAAAGAGCAAAATAAAAGATAGATACCATAATAGGAAACAGGAAGTTGGATCTTTTGCAAATGGAAAGGGATGAAGAGATGGAGGAAGGGGGAAAAGGGGATGTAAAAAAAATTAAGATGTGTTCTGTCCAGGTACCAACTCCCCAAGATGAACGTAAGCATCATGTGCTGCAGACCTGTACTCATGAAATAAAATAAAATAAAATTTAAAAAGCCAAAGCCAAAAAATACTCATGGAAATGTAGGCACTTGGTTCATAGATATTAGAAATTTTATTTTAGAGGCAGACAGTGTTCCTAAAATCTGAACATCACACTTCCTCCTAACATTTGCTCTGTGGAAAAAAGTCCATCATGTTTTGTTTCAGAAACCAATTCTACAACCCCTAAACCAGAAGGGCTGAAAGGCTTTGACTCTTTCACCTCCCCTACTTATTCTTCTGGTCTCTTTAATGGTTGGGTGTCTAATCACCACAGACTCATCACTGTCTGTTTACAAGCAGTTGTGAACCAAGCACCAAGCTGGATCCAAAAAGAGATGACAATTAGAAAGCTCATAACTCAAAAGAGGAGAGAGAATAACCACAGTTATTATAGCCAATAGTTACAGTGCACGATAGTTAAGGCTAAAATCAGATGGGAAGATGGTAAAATGGTAAACTAAGATAAAAATGCTAAGGCAACAGGTTTTAAATAACAACTATAGGTTGGCAAATTATGTGGTCATTAAAGTGACATTTACATGTAAGGATTTGATTGATGACAAGGATGGCATTCAAAGTCAAGGGGCACAGGAAGAGTAATACAAGATGCCAAAGGGCTGGAGGTCTTGCTCACTGGTAGAGCACTTGACCAACATGTGCCAGGCCCTCCCAGTTCAATCCTCAGCAACACACACACACACACACACACACACACACACAAATTTGACAATTTGATTCCTTTTGGGGAAAATATTGCACTGAAATATCAACTCATGTTATATCAACAAATTCTAGAGGTAAAAGAATCCACAAACATTAGAAAAATTCATAATGATCATCTATGTGATATTTAAAAATATGAAAGATCACTAAGGAAAATATTAATAAATTAATTGCATAAGGATGGAAAAAATGCACTACAGAGTTAGAAACTGACAAAAGACAACATACTGAAAAAAATAGTGAAAATATAAGGGAAAAATTTAGTACCTCTGACCCATGAAGAGTTTATTTGAATCAATAAGAAAATGAAGACTTCAACAGATAATTGGCAAAGGAATAGAAAGTATGAGTCTCAAAAGAGGTATATAAATAGTTAATAGCAGGTAAAGAAATGTTTAGTTTCACTGGCAATTGTGAGATTATAGTTTAAGCCATATGAAGTTAGCAAAGATTAAAGAAGTTGTGAGATAAATTTATTTTTATTTTTTTATTTTTTTTTATTTTTTTATTTCAAGGCACATTTAATTTAATATCAGAAGTGTTAACACAAAAGGCCCAAATACAATGAAGGAACACATTCCCCCATTAACACCAAAGACAACGCTCTTTTAACATGTGCCTGTTGAATGAGATGAGGGTTTCATAAAGCTCACTACTGAAAAAAAATTATGCAGTGAGTCTCATCACAGCCAATATCCTTATACAATCTAGGTGTGAAATGAATGTTTATAATGCTTTCAACAGTTTAAGCCTGAAATCTGATACCACTCCTTCATGTTTGTACAGTCCTTGGTTAAGATTATCTACAGTTTTTGAAAGCATTCAAAGAACAAACCATTGATTAAAACGATATTAATTTAGGCTCTATTAAGTAATATAGAGCCCTAAAGCTAAATGGTTAAATATATGTACTACTTTACCAACATCTATTATTTCTTTTGTGACTATTCAAGTTGGTTCTTAGCAAATAAACCCTTTAAAGGCAAAATTCACCTCATTTGAGTTTTGACCCAGAAGTTCAACAACAATCATGAAGTCCACAGTCTTATTGGCAAAACTGATATACAGTGTCTCTAAGTCACTATGCTCAAGGTTAAGTGCGATGCATATTCGGTTTTTACATTTAACTGGAATTTTACATGTTCAATTCATGATTTGAAATCTCTAGGTTTTCAATCCTCCAAACTGTCTGAAGACACAGTGTGCCACAGACTAAAGACTTCTGTTTCTCCCTCTCTTTTCTTCAAACAGAAACATTTCTCAAGTGTCTACATGTTCTAGAAGGGGAATTTTTCGAAGGTGGCCTCTTCTTCGGAATAGTCCGATGGCATCAGGCCTCTGAAGCAAGGGGAAGGGGAAGAGAAAAAAGCTGAAACACAAGGTTCATCTGGTAAGTTTCACATTAACCATTACAAGCTGGACAGTATAAGAATGTGGCTTTTTTTTTTTTTTTTGCTCAAAAAGCCTGAGTCTTGGTGTGCGAACGAGTACTTGGCTGTCCCACCACAGCTTTCTCGTAGTGGGACTGTCAGGGAAGTCTTGACTGGGGAGTATGATTTGTTTACCTATGAGGCGTAAACTTCCAGGCACTCAGTTCATTTTGGGCTTGTTCCAGTTTGTCTTTAGTCTGTTCCAGTTCACCTTTCATTTTTAGGAAAAACAAATGGATCTCTGGGTCTACCATTGTTGATCTCAGTTGGGCAGCACTCGGCTGCTGGACTTGCTTGAGGTACTGGATTTGAGTAGTACACTCTTGCATCTCTTGTTCCTTGGTTGCTAGTCGCATTACAAGGATGTTTTCCCTACGTGCAGACTCTTGCTGTTGCTGTTTTAGCTTTTCTTCAGATTCCCGCAAGCCAGTTATATCATTTAAGTTAAGATCTGTGTACTTGCCCTCCAAAGCTTGAACATAGGCTTCATATTGCTTCCATCTCAGAATTAACTCATCTCGCGCCATAACTTTGAAGTCTGTTTCACTCAGTCGAACCTTTTTGGGAAAAGGTTCTTCGTTGGTCATCTTGAATCTGAGCAGTCGCCTCCACGGCGCGGCCGAAGTCACCCTTGCCCGTGGCTGGGTCCCGCTGGGGGCGTAAGGCGAGTACGGCCGGTGGCCGCTTTAGCCCAAACGGGGCTTCGAGGAGTAAGGGAACAGCTGCAGCCCTCCGGCGCGCCCCGACCCAGTCCCCAAGTCTGGCGCGTGCCCCGCGGCCGCCTGGGCTCACCGCACTCGCTGGGGGCGGGGAGGGAAGGGGCTGAAGAGAGGGATGGGCTGGAGAGGTCGGAGGTCAGCCGCGAGGCATCACGGACCGTGGTCCCCGGGTGGAAGCGCTCGGCGGGGCCACCTGCAGCTGCCGATAAATTTATTTTTAAAGTAGTAAAACGCAATATACAATTTACCACCTTAACTATTTTAAGGTACCCAGTTCGGTGGTGTGGAGTTCAGCGGTGTTGAGTGTATTAAGTACTTTATTGTATGAGTTATTGTCTCCAGAACTTTTTTACTGTGCAAAACAGAAACCCAATACCCATTTGATGACAGCTCCCTGGTCTTCTTGCTCGCCACCTTTGGCCGCCACCATTGCACTTTCTGTGTCTATGAACTTGACTACTTCAGCAGATACCTCATTTAAGTAGGTAAGACAGCATTTGTCTTTTGTTGATTGACTTATTTCACTTAGCACAATATCACTCATCTTGTCACTACTAGCGAGATTTTCCTCCTGGAGAAGGCTGTGTAATAGACCATTGAATGAGTCCAACCACTCCCCACTGGACAGGTGGGTCCCAGCTCCGAGCCACTGAATCATGGGGCTATGCCCTCGGCTGCCAAATATCTCTTTAAGTTCCTGGGTCAGTTCTTTCGGACATTTACATTAAAGTGGGATTGGATCATATGGAAATTCCGTTTTTAATTTTTAAAGGAAAAGGCTAAAGAATATTGTGAGCTTTCATTCTGCCATGGTTCCTATTTGGTACAGATGTGCTCTTGGCGGCAGTATCGACAGGCTTCCCCTTGCTGGCTGCAATGTATAAACAGCCTCAAAAATACCTAGGCTGTTTGTTCCAGGGTCTCCTCCTTGTCCTCCTCAATGAATTAGTCACAAGAGAAAAATCAGGTATGCGGGCAAGGATTATGCAACATGATGTTCTTAAAAACACAAAAATATAAAATACCTAGGAACAAGCTGAATGACAGCGATTAAACACAATGTAGTAATTTTCATAATGGGATATTAGGTTTTGATAGTCTTCATGTGATAGCAAGTGACTTTGATATAGTATTTAACAAAAAAATCAATAACCATAATGTTGCCTACAATATGATCTAAATATTTACAGAGAAATAGGCTAAAATATTAAATTTTTAAAACTCCTTGGTGAATGTATTAGTGATTTTATTTCTTTTTATGTTAATACGTGATGCACTTTTCAAAATTTTCCAAATAGGTTCTATTACTTTACTCATTAGATAAATACTAAATAAAAACATCATATTCCCAAGATAATTCTTCATAGGTGGTAAAAATGTTTAACCATTTATTTACCAACTACTTATTCACTTTTACTATATGAACCACTGTTCCAAGTGGCTATGGGGTGTCAGTGAGCAAAGCCAAGACCCCCTCTGGTGTATGGCTTATATTTTGTCAGAGACAGAAATTTTCAATAAATGTATCAAATGAGTGAATTGTATAGAATGTTAGGATGACATTCTGTGATGCTGTGATGAAAGAAAAAGCAAATTAGGCCAAGAGGGATCAGAAGTAAACAAGGCAGTGGTGTGGCCATGTTGGGTGAAAGGATGAGGGCAGGCTCGGGTGTTAAGTCAGCTGCCAGTGGCTCATGGGGCAAGTGACACATGAGAGAGATGAACAGCACAGGCACCTAGGGGGGTTGCGGGGTCGCTCCATACAGAGCTACCCTAGGGCAGGTAATACCTTGGGCAGGAGGAGGGGAGCCCAGGATCCTGGTACAGGATGAGCGGTAGAGAGGCTGGTGGGGAGTAGCAGAGTGATTGTCACAGGGGGCCGGGAAGGGCAGGCGACATCAGGAAGCTTTGGCAGCTATTATAAATTCAGACAGACCACAGCTCACTACAGCCCAGCTTAGAAGTTTTTGACTGTACAGCATGGTGAAAGTGTACTCTATATACATTCCATTTTTTTACTTTTGGTCCAATATTCAGTAGGTCAATTGAGTTAGTAAACATTTTCTTATAAAGTAGGCTTCACATGGTTCATTTTGCACAAGGGAAGCAATGCCAGTGCTGCTGTGGTCTCAATTACTGCAGGTGAGGCAAAGCAAGTGTGATCAGCAGGCTGAGTGGCTCACTGCAGTGGTGACTCAATGCATTTTCCTCACCATGCAACCCTGTTGTACATCAGGGAGCATCGTGCTTTGGTATTTTTGTGGAATGGAAAGGAGAACCATGAGAGACTGGGCTTTAGCAGGTAGCTGACATCCATCTGGAAAGGTTCCTGTGATGCAGTTGTGACCCTGGGAGGCCAGTGCTGTGGTCCAGGCAAGAGCATGGTGGTGCGGACCAGCGCAGCAGCCAAGGCAGGGATGAGGAGCAGTTCTGGGTGCACTGTGATGGCCAGGCTGGCAGAATTCTGGGTGGGGTGGTGTAAGTATGAGCACCAGGAAAGAGTCAGGAAGACTAAGAACTGGGCAACTGGAAGCCTGGAATTGACACCAGCTGTGACCGGGAAGATGCAGGTGGCACGTGCTGCTGAGAAAACACACAGAGAGAAAGGTTAAGAGCTGGACTTGGAGATGTTCACACTGAAGCGCCTGGGGGTGGGAGTTGGGGTGTGGATGAAGGAGCAGAGGGGGCCAGAAAGAGCCCCAAGGAGCCTCTGTCCCAGGAGGATGGGGAAGCAGGTGGTCAGCTGTGTTCCCTGCCATCCGATCACTCAGAACAGTGACTCAGCAATCTTAATTAACCATGGGAACCTGTAGGTACTCTCTCCCAATCGCTTCATATTCTCAGGGAAGCAGGGAGAAAGGTTGTGGCTGGGAGTGAGGAGGCAGGGAGGGAGAGTTAGCCACAGAGGTATATCCCACTGAGAACAGGGAGTAAAGGCTCAGGCAACTTTTAGAAGTGGATGTGACACTTCTCAGCAGCTGTCTTTGGGCCGATCGCCATGTTCATATCGGGCAAATGGAGAAAGGCACTGATATCAAGGTTGATGTGGAAGCTGGAGGGTAAATACAGTGGGAAGTGGAAAGTTGGCACCGTGGTTTCCGTATTAGGAATGTGCCATCATCCCTGTGTTAATCCCAGCTCTCTAGGATAGAAGCGATAAGATTCATGTCTTCATTACTGAGAAATGAAATCCTGTGCAGGCCACCAAATAGCTCCTTTATCACAGATTTGACACAGAAGGATGAATGAGATCAACTGTTCAATATAAGCAAAGCCACAATTTTCTCATACTTAATAAAAATGATAAGATTTTTATAGCACATTAGTTTAAACCAAATTTGCTAATCTGATGTGATAGGAAAGGTCTGCGTAAAAGATTAATAGGCTAGGCTGGTGCTGTGTGTGTAATCGAAGTCTCTAAGATTTTCACATCCGAGTGGTGACTTTTGTGCTCTTCCTGTAGGGCAGGATCAGTGCCATGGGTGGCACCTGAGCAGATTCCACAGGTCAGGTTGTAGCAGAAACTTTGGCACTACCCAGGTGGTCTCCTTTCTCTAGACTCTGTGATGTCTGGCAGGCGTTTTGTTTTCCGAGTTGAAAATAAAGTCACTGCTCAGGAGACCATGATTTCGCATTTTCAGGACAAGGCTGACACCCACCGTGGCAGGACATGTGCTTGAGGGTCCCACCATGGTCCCTACGCAGGAAGGGGACTCAGCCACCCGCACACCCTTGCTCTTCCACCTTAGGCTGTCACAACCAGACTGGGGCCCCGGGACTTGGAGGGTCAGGGTTATCATGCAATATTGTGTCTCTAAGATGCTTTTTAAGAATAAAGCTTGTTTATCCCAGTAGAGGTGTAAGTGATATTTGGGGAATTTGATAAAATTCATCACTGTGTAACCTCTGTTGTCCTTGGGCTCAGCCCAAACTCCCTGGTGCAGCCTGTGAGGAAAAGCACCCACTGGGGGTGGCTCACCCCCCCAGCTCCTCTCTGGTCACTGCCTCCCACCCTTCCCCTCTGTCCAGCTTCCTCCAGGGTCAGGTAGCTTCCTAACTCCCTGCCTTTGCCACTCTCCCAGGCCAGAAGCTTCTCTAACCCCCTATATCTGCTCCTCCTCGGGTCCTTGCTGGCCTTTCCTTTTCCATTTACTGTCAGCTGAAGTCCCCTCCTTGGTGGCTCCACCCACTGTCCCTGTCATGAGCTCTCCCTTCACTGTGTAATAATTGCACTCTTGCATGTCACTTTCCCTTTCTGGATCATGAGGAATGAAATCAGGGATGATGTCACTGATCCCCAGCTTTCTGTCACTGAGGCAAAATGCCCGAGACACCAACTACTAAAGAGAAAGGGTTCATTTAGGCTCATGGTCCTAGAGGTCCCATGGCATGGCTGGGTGGGCTGGTTGGTTTCTTGGAAGGTTCTGCTAGGGGACCAGAATGACAATAACAGGAACCAAACCAACTCTCACCCCATGGCCAAGGCAGGAAAAGGGAGAAAGGAAGGGGTTGGGGTCCCACAGTCCCTTCAAGGACACGCTCTGTGTCCTAAGGACCTACCCCTGCACCCCGCCTCCTGAAAGTCCCATAACCTCCCAAGCCTTGGACCCAAGACCCTGTGGAGGACAATCCAGACCCAATTCTATCAGGGCCTTCTGGATGCTTTCTTCAGTTCCTCACACAATGAATGTGTGACAAACAAACTTGCGGGTGAGTGGCAGGGCCAGCAGGACAGAATGGCGTTAAGGGAGAATTTTTTATTTATACATATTAACTTAGGACAGTTTATATCCTGTGCAGTGAACATGATGATTGTTTTTGTCTATTTACCTATCATCTGCCTATCTATGCATTTTATAGTCCCATGTCACGTAACAACAGAGATGGGTTCTGAGAACAGTGCCTTCAGCAGGTGACCTCATCATTGTTCCAACCTCACCACATGTGTGGTGCCAGCCAGGTGTCGCATTGGGCCACTCACAGGGGTCTCTGGTACTGTGGTGAGACTGCTGTGTGTCAGGCTGCAGCCGGGATGATGCAGCTTCCTGTTTTGCAGTGACCTTTGGTATGAGTAGGGGACTGTGCTACATAAGACTGATGAATGCACAGCAGAGCACGTGCCTAGT